TCGATACATAGTTTAATAATTAGTTAACTGAAATGATATTGGGTAACAAATATCACTGATTTTGGCAAATTTAGGGCTTAAAAACTGGCAAGATTGATCATGCTTGTAATAAATATTCTGTAGTTATATTTTCGAAAATCAACAGGTAATCCGATAGTTTAACCAATGTTAACTTGCTTATAATTAAAATTTAAAAATTAAAAAGCTGTAAATTTAAAAAAAAATAATTACATTACTAAAAAATTAAAATAAATTTGATTATTTTTTGTGCGAAACAACACCAAAACAATTTTTATAGTTATGTTGCAAAAGAAAGAGATTTGTAGTTACGATTCTCTGCGCTGAACTTCTATATTTTAATAACGTATAATTGTAATTTCGTTTGTTGTTTATTTCTGTATTTATTTTATTTTATAAGTTTTAAGAATCCCAATTTTCGTAATACTATGACTTCATAGGAATACAAGTGTGAGGTTCCGGAATTGTCCGGAACTAAAATAGAAAAACGTAAAATAATTTAATTATTAGAGAAAAAAAGGAATGAACAGAAATTTTTTATAGAAACTTGAGAAATAGTCTAGACCCGTGTTTCTCAACCGCCGGTCCGCAACTCTAATCTGACCAGTCCGCGAAAACTTTAAAAATATATACTGTACCTTCCATGCGTTGTTCTCAAATAGGAAATATGTGGATTATTAATCCGTTTATTGATAGCAAACTAATAGATTGAACGACTTTGAATACGAAAAACTAATCAAATTAAGTTCAGACTTGGGATTTAAAACATTGTTTGAATCAATGCCCATAACACAGTTTTGGATTAAAGTTAAATCTGAATATCCAGTTTTACATAAAAAGGCAGTTAGGATGTTACTACCTTTTTCAACAACGTACTTATGTGAATCAATGTTTTCAGCAATGGTAATGATAAAATTGAAACAACAAAATCATTATAGTATTAGTTCTGCCTCACGCCTTGCAGTTACCGCCTTAACTCCAAGAATTGATGATCTTACTAGCAAAAAAGAAAAGCAGCGATCACATTGATTTGTATACTAATGTACTGGTAAATAAAATAACAAATATTTATTGCTCAATGTAGTTTGCAGTTCTTTTTACAACAGAGAATTTTTTTCAATTAAAAATAATATTGTCACTGGTCCACTTAAAAAAAGCAGATATTTTCCGGTCTGCGATGAGTTTTGGGTTGAGAAACACTGGTCTAGATCATCCTTTCTCAAAGTGGGTGATAACGCCCCTTTGCGGGCACTGGAGGCTTTCATGGGGGCAGTAGAAGGCTCAGTGATTAAATATGAGTTTTATTTCTTCTCATCAAAACATTCTTTGATCTCAGAAATAGGATATGGGTCACACCCTATCTATCCTATCCATATAATAATGCATGTTTAAACATTATATTTGCAATAACTGTTTTTAAGATATGCAACAGATGGTAATGTAAAAAGGTTAAAAAAAAGTTACTCTTTTTGTTGAAAGATTGATTTTAAAATTATGTGTTTCTAAATCAAGAGTTCATTTTAAGCACAGTACAGTACTATTTGTTTATCAAAGAATAATTTTTGTTGATTTTATGTTACCTTGTATTTACTAGATTTACATACAAATAATAATGATAAATGATGATAAAATAAAAAGCTTGTGTTTTGTTTGTAAATTGCTTATTTTTTCATTACATTGAAATTGTGGATTCTATCAAACATTTTTCTACAGGATGTATGTACTGTATTTTTTTAATGTGGCAGTCTTTGAAGCATATCAACTGTGCAAAAAGAGGGCTAAATGTACTCAATGTTAACAGTAAATGCTGTTTTATTATGTCGATATTCCACACTAAAAAATGTGAGGGTCAGGGAATTTGGACAAAGTTGGTCAGGGAAAGTCAGGGAATTCAAAACAAAAATTTGAGTAGGAACCCTGTATATAATAAGGACACAAAGGTATATGAATTAATGTCAATGATCTTGTTTAAGCAGTAGACACAATGATTTGTGGAAAGAGATGATTCACCATTTCCACCCTATCATTTAAGTTCCCACAATTTTCACAGTCAGTTCTGTATAAAATTTTGTTGAAAAACTTGGACTATAGCAAATTGTGCTTTTGGTGGGTTCTGAAAATGCTTACTGAGGGACAAGACGTGGATGTCTCATGCGACCCTTGAATTCAAGCAGCAGTTCTGGAGTGGTGATATACATCATCAATGTCAAAATTGAAATTCAAACAGAATCTCAACTTGCAAGATTATGGCAATCATGTTCTAGGACAGATGCAGTGTTTTGCTGATGGACATCATATACTGGAAGGGACAACAATAAACACTGCTGCAAATTGTCAGCCCTTGAGGAAACTTCACTTCACTACACATTCCAGAATAAATGCTGTAGTAGGCTGCCTGCCAGAGTTCTGTTGCTTTATGATAATGTGAGAGATAATACTGCTGGTTTAATGCAAGCTCTAGTTGAATTTTTTGGCTGGCAGCAATTGGATCACTTCCCATACAGCCCAGACTGGATACTAACAGACTACCATGACTTTCAGGAGGGTTCAGCAAGGATGGCTATATCTTGTGTTGTCTGGATGAGAACCATTCGCCATCTTACAAAATAACTATAAGTTTTCTGAAATTTTTGTCTAAAAGAAAAATTTCCCTTTTGGTAGATGGAAGTTTCATTAAAAGTTTTGAGATGTTATCCTGAGATTGACTCCGTTTTTAAAGGGATAAATTTCTTATCTAGCTGTTGTCTTATACATCTACTGTTGGAAAGTTTGATTACTAATGATGGGTAACAATTCTCAAAATAATGTAGATTTGGTGTCCTTTCACTTGATATTTTCACTCCATTGCACACAAATTCAATTTTTGATTATTTAAAAGAAAATTTCAGTTCTTTTGTACATATAAAAATTATATATTTTATTAAGCCTATTGTATTTTGAATATTATTTAGCATACAGTCAAACCTCTGTTTACAAACTTTATTCATTTCTAAAAGTTGTTTGGAAACAGATTTGTTCTTAATCCCAAAAGTTTTTCATTTTTAACTTTTTAGCTTTATCTCATGCATAAAATGCCTGTAAAGGTAATATAATATATAATATCGCCTTTATAGATAAACTACTATTATATATTATACTTTATACTTATATTTATTATATATAAATGTATATTAAAAACAAAATGTTTCATCACCACCAATCAGAAACAAAACCAAAACTAACAATTTATAAAGAAATTCTATAAATAGAGAGACAACTCTGACAGCCAAGATGAAATAGAAATATATTCACACTTTCCAAAATATTATGTTTCAGTTGATTTCATTTTGATATTAAGTTTATTTTATTTTTAGTTTTAATATCAATGTGTACAGGCCAGTTTTAATTATTATTTTATTTTTTTTTAAATTTAATTAGCCAGTTAATTAAACTAAAAGTAATATCTAATATTAATAAATTTTTGTTATTTATTTAAACTTAAGCATATTTAAACATGAATTCTTGAATGCCATTTATATTACGTAAACTTCAATTAAAGTGGTTTTTATTAATTAATTTGTTTTAAATTTGACTGTGGCATGTACCAAAAAACAGAAATAGTGTTTTTCCCACATGAGCATAGAAATATAATTTAAATAACAATGCCATTGACAATTTGTTATGTGATTCTAGGCAATCTCGGCACCAATAACTTTTGAATTGGTAGTGCTGTTGATTGGTCAAACCGTTGATGTTCTTTAATTTAGGATGTATAGGAGTTGACCACCAGTGGCCGATTCTGTCATGTAGCTTGTTTAGAAACCAAGTTATCATATGGCAACTGGAGCAAATGTGGTATTCAAAATTTTGTTCATTAAATTAAACAAAGTGTTTAACCTGAGGTTTGACTATTTAATTTATTATTAGTTTATTAATATTAATGATGTCTCCAAGTAGATTTTAGCTGGTCAGTCAATCAGTTAAATCTTTTCTTGATTAAATAAAACATTTTAATCTATTTATATATATAAATAAAAATGGATGTGTTTGTGCCTATAGGTCACTCTGCAGCCAAAACTACACATCTCACATGAATGGTGTTTGTGTGTGGTAGTAGCCCCAAGTCTCCCATCATGCAATATGGTGGTTGCGTCTCGATAGCTATAAGGGTGTGAGAGATATGGGGTTTGAAAGTGATTGACTTCGAAAATGTATGACGCTTCAATGAGAATGTTCTAGTTTTTTTTAGAAAGTTCTAGAACCTAGAGGTGAAATTTGGTAAACAGTTAGGGTACATCATGAAAATGCACACTAAGAAGGGATTTTTCAAAATTCCCCCGTGGGAGGAGAGGGAGAGCATTAAGGCTTAACTGAAGAACGGCTTCTACTGTACTATTTAAATGTGATTTCTTTGTTCTTAATTAGTTTAGTCTTCATTGAGTACTTAGCAGTATTAAATTGATAACATTTCAGACATTGTTATAAATATTTTCGTATATTTCGATTTTTTAACCAAATGTTCAAACCATTTTAAATTCAAATTTCTTTTTGCATATTGGTTTGATTATAGAACGATCATAAACGTTCCAGAAAATTTATCAAATTAAAAGCAGTTCGTTTGATTCTCAGCAATTCTCATCATTCTCAGCGGTGGGTGTTAAATAACAATTACTATGGTTGTTGAAATATTGAATGTAAATAGTTTTTGCTTGCAAAATGCATGTGAGCAAAGCCGTGAGTAACAGCTAGTTTTATATATATTATAAATATAAAGATTATTTAAAGGATACTTAGACTATGGGTTATGCTATTAAATTTTATTGTATGACTATTTTTTTATTTCATTAACTGATTTTTGTAAGAAAATTTGTAATAGCAAGCAGTTAACATTGCAGGTTAATGTCTAAAATTTTTTTGTGGGGGAAAACATTCTGTATTCTTTCATTATAATGAAATAATAATAATAATTTATTTTTTTTTTCATTAATTTAATTGTATTTTAGGTGTGAAGCTTTGGCTGATATAATATGGCAAAATAGACAACAAATAAAACGTGTAGAAATGTTATGTACGCAGTTACCAATTTCTATGCCTGTCAATGTAACAGATAAATTACCAGCATTGAATCAACAAATAACAGGTCTTTTGTCATCATTAGTTACAAGGTATGTATATGCTAAAAATAATAATCTTGTGTGAATAAAAGATCAGTTTAGTGAACTCTGATTGATGAAGTTAGTTAATGCCATTTATAAATAGTTGACATGTCACTGATACTCTAATCTATTTTTGTATTTTTAGAATGTTTTTGAGAAAATTATAATTAACTGTAGTTATTAAGAGATTTGAAAAAATGAATGACATTATTTGATTTAACTTGTTGCACATTAAAGACCACTCTCATCAACATTGAACCTGTGGTTTTTAGCTGTATTCTTTGAATTTAAATTGCAAATATTAATGCAAATAAATGCTTGTAGAATTTTTCTTCAGATGGTGTATACATTTATTTCTAAATAAAATGTGGTTAGATTTACCCTAGGTATCCAAGTTGGCGGCCGTCGTTAATTCGGTCGGTGCTTCCAGTCGCCATTTTGTTCACGCAGGCACATATGCAAAAAAGATGGTGACTATCGATAATAACTAAAACATGCCTATATTTAAACTTTTTTTAAACTAAAACATTTTTAAAATGTAAATTTGCTACTTACTTTTTCCCCATGCTTTTGTTTTCATTTCCTACTTTTGGACCAGAGATGAAAAATAAAGTCAGCATATTACCTGAAAACCATCGATAACCAGACATAGTGAATTACAAGATTGGATACATCAGTGGTTCGAACAGGATTTGCCTGGAGTGCAAGTATACATTTAAGCCTATGGGGAACTGCAGCCTTGTGCCTCGCTTTGCTCGCCACTTTGGCCGTGCCATTGCGTGGCCTCAAAATACAATATAACATCACGTAGGTTATGAACAGTAAAGGATGAATCACTAACCTCCGGGTGGTCATCGGGAGCATGAACAGTCAAATGCCACTTTGTGGAAAACTAAAACGGCGTAGAATGCACTCTGAAAGGCAAGTTTTAACCAACAGATAAACAGTAAAAACAATTTGCAAAATTTTCCTACTCATTAATTTAAAAAAAAGAAAGAAAGAAAATTGTACAAACTTTAAAAAAAGATAAATGCCATTTGAAAAGGTTACAACGTGCACCACTCTTCTACATCATAACCGAACTTAAAATTTGCGTAATTCCTTATATTTTTTGAGTGGAAATTTTTTAAGAAAATTTGCATACGAGGCCGTCAGTATGATAAGTGCCATCTACATTTCATTTCTAAATGCAAATGCCATCGAGGTTATCGGATGTGTCACCATCTTTGATACCTAGGGTAAATCTAACCTAAAATGCTTTATAAATCACTCTAAGAATAACTAACTCATTCCTCAAACTATAAAAATTTTTTAATCATTTGTTTAACTGTGTGTTATATGCAAAAGAAGAACCTAAATAAATTTTTATTGCTGGAGTTGTGCAAATTTTGGGAAGGGACTTTCAATAATAAAAAAAAGATCAAAATTGGACTAATGTAAGTTTGAGTAATTTGGATTTGAAATTTTTGCTGGAGTACTAGATAAATGTCAAACACATTGGGCTGAAGTGCTTACTACATTACTCATGATTATGTTCTTAACTTTATTGAGAACTCCTATACATATCTGTTAACAATTAACAAAGTACAGTAGAGCACTGATTGTCCGACACCCAATTAACTGTCACCTCGGTTAACCGACCGCGTTCTAGTCGACAAATTCAAATGTCCGCTAGTGATGTGGCGCTACAATATTTGGCTATGTCTTGGCTACTTTAATAGTACTTTTACGTGTTTTAGCTGGCAACACTGGCTCGACCATGAAAGGGAGGCAAATATTTAAACGTGGCTTAATTTTGTAATTATGAGTGGTTGTTTGTTTTGCGAACAATAAAATAATTTATAAATAATTTTTAACGATACAATACCAATGATGATTATTTTAAAAAATAATTTTTGTTAGGCTTACCATGGAGGAAAATTCAACGTGAAGTAGGTTAATAGCGATATACTAATTACATGGGATATAATAATATACTACACTAATAATGGATTTTTTCATATTTTTCTGTTATCCGACTTTTCAATTATCCGACCAACCCCAGTCCCCAATTGAGTCGGCTAATAGATGTTCTACTGTACATAACTTTTCAATATAGTATTTTGTAAATCTTTATGCAAATGGTCTATTTATTTTTTTGCTTTTATAGTGATGTATATCTCCATATGGTAATTTTCTTTTGTTATTGTTAAAAATTATAACTTTTATATTGGTATTGATGAACAAGGTTTATATGATAGGAGTGCTTTCTATACTTCTGATTTTGTCAGTAGTATCAATGCTCAATAATTTCTCCTTGCTTTACTTACATACAATGAAACTAAATTAACTTAAAATTCAAATACTAGCAAGCCAACCTAGTCTCCATTCAGTGAAGCAAAGATTGTATCAAATTAAATTTTATTGTATGACTATTTTTTTATTTCATTAACTGATTTTTGTAAGAAAATTTGTAATAGCAAGCAGTTAACATTGCAGGTTAATGTCTAAAATTTTTTTGTGGGGGAAAACATTCTGTATTCTTTCATTATAATGAAATAATAATAATAATTTATTTTTTTTTTCATTAATTTAATTGTATTTTAGGTGTGAAGCTTTGGCTGATATAATATGGCAAAATAGACAACAAATAAAACGTGTAGAAATGTTATGTACGCAGTTACCAATTTCTATGCCTGTCAATGTAACAGATAAATTACCAGCATTGAATCAACAAATAACAGGTCTTTTGTCATCATTAGTTACAAGGTATGTATATGCTAAAAATAATAATCTTGTGTGAATAAAAGATCAGTTTAGTGAACTCTGATTGATGAAGTTAGTTAATGCCATTTATAAATAGTTGACATGTCACTGATACTCTAATCTATTTTTGTATTTTTAGAATGTTTTTGAGAAAATTATAATTAACTGTAGTTATTAAGAGATTTGAAAAAATGAATGACATTATTTGATTTAACTTGTTGCACATTAAAGACCACTCTCATCAACATTGAACCTGTGGTTTTTAGCTGTATTCTTTGAATTTAAATTGCAAATATTAATGCAAATAAATGCTTGTAGAATTTTTCTTCAGATGGTGTATACATTTATTTCTAAATAAAATGTGGTTAGATTTACCCTAGGTATCCAAGTTGGCGGCCGTCGTTAATTCGGTCGGTGCTTCCAGTCGCCATTTTGTTCACGCAGGCACATATGCAAAAAAGATGGTGACTATCGATAATAACTAAAACATGCCTATATTTAAACTTTTTTTAAACTAAAACATTTTTAAAATGTAAATTTGCTACTTACTTTTTCCCCATGCTTTTGTTTTCATTTCCTACTTTTGGACCAGAGATGAAAAATAAAGTCAGCATATTACCTGAAAACCATCGATAACCAGACATAGTGAATTACAAGATTGGATACATCAGTGGTTCGAACAGGATTTGCCTGGAGTGCAAGTATACATTTAAGCCTATGGGGAACTGCAGCCTTGTGCCTCGCTTTGCTCGCCACTTTGGCCGTGCCATTGCGTGGCCTCAAAATACAATATAACATCACGTAGGTTATGAACAGTAAAGGATGAATCACTAACCTCCGGGTGGTCATCGGGAGCATGAACAGTCAAATGCCACTTTGTGGAAAACTAAAACGGCGTAGAATGCACTCTGAAAGGCAAGTTTTAACCAACAGATAAACAGTAAAAACAATTTGCAAAATTTTCCTACTCATTAATTTAAAAAAAAGNTAATAATTTTTTAATACTATTAGTTTGTGATACATAATATATTATTTTTTCTGCCATAATAACTAACTTTTTTCTGTATCCCTAAACAACCTATCGCGTACCCCTAGGGGTACGCGTACCACAGGTTGGGAATCGCTGATATAGATAAATATGTAATTATATTATATATATGACCTTTTTTAGGTTTTGTAGGCATATGTATTGTTAATTTCAATTTCATACTAAAAACATCACAACATATATACAGTTGACAAAACTGTCTAATAAGAAACATTTTAACTATGACATAAACTTTTATTGAATTGTACAAATATTCATTCAATTTCCAGAAAAATTAAGGAAACCAGAATGAGTTTACAATAGAATTATACTCTAATAGAATTTACTAACATCTTACACATCTGCATTATCTATTTGATAGAGTTTTGTCATGTATGTATATATGTATGTTGTGACATTTTTATTGTGAAATTAACATTACATATGCTTATGCCTACAAGTCATAAAAAGAATGGATCTGTGTATGAAGATTGATAAGGGATCTGTTATGTCTGATTTGCATATCTAACTATATAAAGCTGAAAAACCGGATTTTTTTTCTTTCTGTCACTGTATGTAAAAAATGGCCACTAGGGTTGCCCTAGATCAGGGGTGGCCAACCTTTTGCATACCATGCGCCAATTTTTTGATAGACTTCACATGCTCAGTGGCGTACCGTGAGTGTTAGCAGCCCGGGGCGGAGAAAAATTTCGGCCACCTTTTATTTAGGTATTTCAATTTATAAGACGAAAATTCAGATTTGCTACAGAACAAGCAATGAAAAATGCGGTTGTAGTGTAGCTACCCGTATAAAATAGTTTTCTATGACATCAGTGGTGTACATGAACACGAATGCATTGTGTAACATACAAGCAAAAAAAAAAGAAAAGAAAAGAAAATGTCAACAGGTCGATTGCACCGAATTGTGTAAGAATTACACTTACCAAGACACACTGTAAAAAATTAATTTCCTATGTAATATTCATAATTGCAATGAAGCCAAATCTGGCAATGTTGCTCGGAACTGACTGAAGCGCCACTTGTAGTCGTTTAATGCGCCAAGTTTTGGCCACCCCTGCCCTAGATATTATTTAAATTAACAACAAATTCAATATATTATTATTTGATGTGGTTTTTGCATTTTTGGATGTGTTTTAGTAGGGTAAGCCATGAGAAATTCAATATATTATTATTTTATTTGTAAAAGGAATTTATTATTGAAACCATGGAATGACACTGCTGCTGCTAGAATGCCCACTAGGGTGTGTCCTGGGCTACTAGAATAGAAGGATTAGAAGTATGAAATAATCCAATAATCTTAATCTTTCTTGTTGTTTTTTGCCCGGGCAATGCCAGGCTCATCTGCTGGTGATAAAATAAATGCATAGAATTATTTTGAAAATTGTGTTCATCAAGGTCTTTGTTTTGTGTTTACTTCAGTGTGATACTTGTGTTTTGGGGAAAAGGCACTAACATGAAACATACAAAATATTCAATGAAGTTTAAAAAGTTCCATTCAGGAAGTTTTGAACTACAGGATACATATTGTTTATGCTTCAAGCACATTTGTTCCCTTTGTGTACAGTTCTATCTTAGAAGCATCTTCAAACTTTGAGGCAAATTTTTGTTAAATTTGTCATTTGAAGTATGAGGCATCACTGTACATGAAATTTTTTTACTAAAGAAAAATAAAATGTCTTTTTGATTCACAAAGAAACTTCAAGGCTTATTAAAAATAAATTTATATAAAATACTAATTTTTAAATATAATACATCATTAATATAATTAGAATGTTGTGTAAAAACTTGTATTAAATCACAGCTAAATAGAGTATATTATTGTTCTATAATTTATATATATATAATCAAGATGTTGTTTTTATTAACTATAGCCATAAGGCATTGCATTTACATACTTAAAGGCTTTAAAAAGATGAAAAGAATTCTGTCTAATAACAATTTGTTTTACAGTGAATCTCAAGCAATTGCCTTATTAAAAAATGATAAAGTAGGAATGGGGTAAGTCACATTTTATCATATTTGTGATGTTTTAAAATAATTATAATTAATGGTATGGAAATTTTAAAATTATAAAATCAGTTGATATTAATATTCTATTCTACAATTTTAAAATGTTTACCTATAATGTAAAATAGATTGATAAATTGTTATTAACTGCATAATTATAATTGTTCTTAATTCTAAATTAAATCTGTTATAATATAGAGATAATTTTAAAGATGGAGGAGACTATACTTTTTAGAAGCTATTGAAACTAGTAATAATTTTGATTTATTCTGTATTTACTATTGTAACTGAATTTTAAGATTTGAGACTTTAAGAAGAATTTAGGATATTCATAGTTTTGAATGCAAATAATTAGTTGCTTCTAAATCAAGCAACTAATATAAACTAAACCAATTTTCTTGTATGCTTATAATATTTTAAATAAAAGAAACTTGAGTTTAGATGTGTTCTCTAATTTTATATATTATTTTATATTTATGAAAAACTATTTACCATTTTGCTGTTATCGGGACATTTTTTAGTAATTGTTCATTTAGTAAATTGATTGTGAAATGTAAATATTAAATGTTATATATAAAATTTAAGGTTGATTGTATAAATTTAAAAACATCTGTACATAAATAAACATAATATGCAACTTGTGAAATTTTAATTAAAAATATACATATTTTTACATGTTAAAAAAGTATGTTCTGTAGTTTTTTATGTTATGCATTAATTTATATTACACACAATTTATAACTGTATATTCTTATTTCAGAGATGCAAGTGGGGAAATATTAAATAATACAGGTACTATGGAATATCATCAAGCAACGAGACAATTGAGTGTTAGTTTTAGAAATATGGTAAGAAACAGTTAAATTGATTTTTTTTCTCTATCATATCAATTACTATTTAATTAGTATCATACAGTTGTTTACACTAATAATGATATACATTTAATTGATGATATTGTATAGATTTTGTTGTAAGTGATTGCATTTGTATTTTAATATTTTTTTGCTTATTAGTTTTTAGTTATTTTTGCTATTAATGTTTTCATATAAAATCTTTGTTCAATGGAAATTAAGAGGGTTGATTAATTATAAAAGAAATCATTCAAGTATAATTCTGTTAATATTAGCAATACACTTTAAAAATATAATGAATTATAAGAATTTTTGCAAAAATTCATTTTTGTTGTTCATATGATGAAAATCAGTCAAGAAGAAAAATTTGATTTGTAGATTTGTGTAAATTTTTATATTAAATATTTAAGAATAAAATATAAAATGCTTTTGAAAAATTTGTTGTTTTAATGATTTTGATGTATAATTAAAAATTTTTATTATCTGTTAAGTTGATCGGTGGTAGAAATTTCGATATTTACAGAAACAATGCACATAACATATTTATTACTAGACATAAAATTGTAATTGCTTTTACTTTCCTGGCTATTAAAGTAACAGATGGAAGATATTGTATTTGGTCAGATTTTAACCTTTCAGGTTTTTTTTTTGTTTCTTGACAATTTCAAGGGTCCCTGATTCCAGAAACAAGAAAAAATAAAAATTTTGTGTTGTGTTTGGAATTGGCTCGGCAAACGATTTGCCTTGGTGGGAGACAGACTCGCTTTTCCTGTGATCTGTCAGGATGATGTGAGAGGGGTTTGTATGTATGTGGGTAGCAGTGCTGGACAGTGAGACTGATGTGGATAATGGAGTGACAAAATTAATTGTATTTAATAAGACAAAAAGCATGCTTACAGAGGTAGTGCCATCTTGTCAAAAGATGTCACACAAAAAGGAGAACGTTCTTTTCTGATGATTGTTGGTAGACTTGGAGGTTGGAGGGATAGAGAAGTTGTCACTGGAAAGTTCCCTTCCATCTTAGTTAAAATATCCAGGTCCTCTCTTTTCTCAGAATCTCTTATAGTGTGGGTTTCTGGGACTGGTGTTATCAATCTCAAGCTCTCCATGCCATTGAGATTTTCAGCTTTTATACCATCTTCACCCAAATTTTGATTTTTGGTTAGTCCAAAATGGTGCTCTCCCTGTAACTCTATTGGTCCCCAACCTATAGCCAGGGTCATGATTTGGGCTGCTGGGTTGTCAAACACCCCTGCTCCACTGGACCACTTCCCCTGAGGTCTGGTTATGCGACTGTTCTGTAAATTACTGACAATGTATTTTCTCCTGCCTTGGAGGAGAAGAGTCTGGGGTTATTATGGCCCCAGCCATTGCCTCCTCCGAGGAAGCATTCACTTTTTTCGTTTGGTGGTCACTTTACAGAGTTGAAAGATTTCCTCAGTACTTGCTCTCAAGTCTGGGGATGTGACAATTAAATTATATCATACCCCGTTTCTTTTGCAGCTCTGGTTCTGTTTATGAAAATAAGTCACTGGTCTATTGACTCTTTAAATCGACAGCTAGTCTCTGGTACATTTTGGAAGTTTTAAATTAAGGAGGGAGAAGATAGAGGTGGCTATATTTTGAGTGGGGTCAGATAATGATATTTGCATTTACAATTTTTTTAAACTTTATCTCTATCCAAAAAATAAGGGTTTTCCTGTTTATAAGAATTAATATTATATTGTAAATTATTTTTTAATAACTGATAACAAACACAATACTAACTTTGAGCCAAAATGTTTTCTTCTATGATGTGTTTAAACTTAAATATTTTCTTTTTGAAAAAATGTAGAAATTTATCATTATTTTACAAAATTGTTCATGTTAAAGTTTTCTTTGTCAAATTTTATATTGTAGTATGTTTGAAAATTGTATGTGTATAAAATCTGTATAATTTGAAAACATCCAATTTTGATGTTGGAATTTTTTTTGTCTAGTTTCAAAAATTAATTTGATATTTTAATTAGCAATAAAAAAATTACCTTATTTTTAATTTTTTTGAAAATTATTTTTCTTTATATGTTTCAGTTGTAAAAATCATTTTGTTCATAAATATCACACATCAACTTTATATACTGTGATAATAATATATTTATATTTATAATCCTGACATTTGAAANATTATAACAATAATTTTATTGTTATAATGAGTTGAGGGGAAAGTAATTTTTTTTACCACTAGAGGGATTAGTTGTATTTTTACCCACTAATTTCATTCTAAATTGTATTGTCATTATATATTTTGACACTTCGAGGCTTATTTGTACACTAGCTGTTACCTTTTCAGTAATAGATAAAACTGAACTTCTTAAATTAATTCTTTAATTGTAAACAGTTTTTGGGTATATCTAATGATATTTTATGTAATATGTTTGAATTTTTCCTTGTAACTAGTGCACTAAGAATTTTATGATTATTTAAGAATGTACAAAAATATTGCATTCGCAGAATACTTTTAATAAAAATTTGCTTCCTGTCCTTTTGAAATGTAATTGTTATCAAGCTTCTATATCTTGATAACAATTACATTTCTATATCTTGAGGACTTGTCACTCCTTTTGAGGAATGTTTTCACTTGGACACCAAGAGACCTATCATTGGCTGTTCTACTTTATTAAATAATCATTTTAGACAGTTTCAGCTGTCTTCAGTAGATGCTTTTCGGGTTACAATTTTTTTCACAAATTCACTGAAGGATATGTTAAATAGACACTTTTTCTATTCATTACATTCTCAGTTTTGGGGGTTTTATTTGAGACCATTTCTAAAGATATATAGTCAAACCTTGGCTACAAATGCTTCAGTTTACAAACAAAATTTTGATCACAGAAGAGTAGAATTTCAGGATACGAAATTAATCTGTTCCAAAACTGAGATCATATCATGAAAATGTCGTAAGGTGAATCATTTTCCCCCATATGATTACATGTAAAACCAAATAATCCGTTTTAACACGAAAAACACACTCAAATTAAAGCTAAGTTGTACATTAAAAAAAATAATAATAACTATAGTAAGGAAAATAGTAAAAAATGTGTTTTGTAGTTGTAAATGTATAAATAACCATAATAGAATAATAATTGATTTAAAAAAAAAATAGTTTTATTATCACTTTACCTTTGAGGGTAGACGACGGTGGAGGTGTAAACTGGTGGCAGAGGAGAGGGAGAAGGGAAATGATACTAAAACTTAACTTACCTAACATAATGTAACAATAACTTAAGAATAACTTACACTAACTTTTTTATCTTTTCTGTTTTATATATTTTTAAAAATTTTTTATTCATTGCTTTTTGCTTTCTTTCCTTCACTTCCACCATCACTTTAACTGGATAATGGTCGCTTGGTAAAATATCTATCCAAAGAGGTTTGGCTTTGCCTACTTTTTAAAATGTTTCTAAAATGATTTAGGCAAATGTCATTACTCTGAGCAGCAATACTGCCAGTGTGAACCTTTTCGGGATGTTTCTTTTCAATAAAATCAGTCATTTCTGGTAATACCTCAAGATTTCCTTTATCGAGCGAGATCCTTTTATGATGAAGCAAACACGTGGACTGAGACCAATGAACAGAAGTGAATAAAAAATGGTGGTGCAAACTAATGTAACATCGTATGGTGAGTTTTTGTTCGTATCGTGGAGCAAAAATATGTTTGAATTTCATGTCGTATCCTGAAAATTTTGTATGCTGGATGTTTTTATCCTGAGGTACTACTGTAGTAAAGTTTTAATATATATCTGTGTGACGTGATCTTATTTTACAAGGAAGGTAGTCTTTTTACAGAGGACTTAGGGTCCTTTTTTTAATTATTTTTTTGCTAATGTTTTTCATTTTCCTTTTGTATTAATTTTTTTATCTATTTAATGTCTTACTTTCTGTTACGTGATACAAAAACACAGTAATAGATTGCTGTATTATTTGTTGAAGTTTTCTTTTTTGTCTGTTTTGTGAATTTGACCTGTTGGAATTCTAAATATTTATTGAGATTCACTCATTCATGGATTCAATGAGTCTTCCATTTCTGAGTGCGTTCCTTTTTGTTTAGTATTAATTTTTTAATGTGAAGTTTTCTGCATTTGTATAGATGAAATTTCATTAGTATATTGGTGGAATAGATGTATAAATTTTGTAATAGATAATTTAGTTCTGTGTATGTGTAGAACTTTGTTATGCACAAATGAGATTTGGATACTTTTTTAATGAAATAAAATGGATTTTTAATAATAAACTTATGATTTGTGTGATTATTTCAGTCTGTGATGGATGAAAAATTTTCCTTGTTATTTCAATCTCAGTTTAAAGTTGGTGGTGGTGAATTAGTATTTCAAGTATGGGTAAGTTTGTTTTATTTTTTTATTTTGTGTGTATTTTAAATTATTGGGAAAAAGAGCATTAATTCTATATGAATGATGAAATCAAAAGTTATGTGGAATTGTTTCTAATATATTTATTTCAGCTAGTTTTTAATCAGAAATCTGATATTGAACATTATATATTTATAATTGCTGTAGTGCTCTTTAGCAAGATATTTACTTTTTTGATTACCAATTTTTTTTATATATTTGAATTTGTCAACCCATTATAACAATAATTTTATTGTTATAATAATTTGAGGGGAAAGTAATTTTTTTTACCACTAGAGGGATTAATTGTATTTTTACCCACTAATTTCATTCTAAATTGTATTGTCATTATATATTTTGACACTTCGAGGCTTATTTGTACACTAGCTGTTACCCGCGACTTCGCCCGCGAAAATTTTGCAAGCAAACCCAATTTATATTCAGTATTTCAACAACCATAGTAATTGTTATATAACACCTACCGATGAGATTTGTCGAGAATCAAACGAACTATTTTCGATTTGATCAATTTTCTGGGACGTTTACAATCGTTCTATAATCGAACCAATGTGCAATAATAAATTTGAATTTAAAACGGTTCGAACATTTTTAAAATCTAAATAGATAAAAATATTTATAACAATGTCTGAAATGTTATTAATTTAATACACCTAAGTAATCGATGAAGACTAAATCCTCTCTCTCTCCCCCGCGGGGGAATTTCGAAAAATCCCTTCTTAGTGTGCATTGCCATGGCATACCCTACTAAATCGCAGATAAAAGCAAAAAATCACATCTAAAATAGTACAGTAGAAGCCATTCTTCCGGTTAAGCCTTAATCTCTCCCTCTCCCCCCGCGGGAGAATTTAGAAAAATCCCTTCTTAGTGTCCATTCTCATGGCATACCCTACTAAAACGCATACAATACGAATACGAAATAACAAATTCGAATTTAAAACGGTTCGAACATTTTTAAAATCGAAATGGATAAAAATATTTATAACAATGTCTGAAATGTTATTAATTTAATACACCTAAGTACTCGATGAAAANTAAATATTTCTTAAATGCATCTTTTAAAATCATGACAAAATTCTTACAGAATTTACAAATTTCCAATTTGCAATACCGTAGCAATGCATTTTTTTTTTTTTTTTTTTTTTTTTTTTATTTTGGTCCTATGAAATATGGAAAATCAAACACATCATTTTTAGCATATTTTGCTTTTTTATTACTAAGAAAGTAAGAACATTGTTCAAGCAAGAAAAAAATTTTGTGATGTGTATGGAGGTGATGTGGTGACAGAATGGCAATGCCAAACTGGTTTGCAAAAATTTGTTCTGGCAATTTTGATATTGAAGATGCACCATGCTCTGGAAGGTAAGTTGAAGCTGATGAAGACGAAACAAACTGCCATATAACAATACGGGAAATCACTAAGATAAAATTTGTCAAATTCAACCATTTATGATCACATGAAATGACTTGGTTTTGTTTGAAAGCTTGATATATGGATTCCACATGTTCTTAAAGAAAGAGATTTGCTTCATTGCATCAACATCTGTGATTTACTTCTCATACATCAAGATGGTGATCTATTTTTAAAGTGAATTATAACTGGTGACAAAAAATGGATTGTTTATAACAATGTCAGATGCATGTGATTGCGGAGTAGAAGAGATGAGCCAGCTCAAAGCACTTCAAAAGCTGATATTTATAAAAAAAAAAAGTGATGCTTTTTAGTTGGAAAAAAACAATTCCCTTCCAACTAAAAAGTGAAATTGTCTGGTAAAAGTTTGGAAAAAAACAATTCCCTTTAAGGGAATTGTTTTTTTCCAAACTTTTACCAGACAATTTCACTGTTGATTTGGAAGTTTATTGTTGTCACCTGGAAAACAATTCCCTTAATGGGAATTGTTTTTTTCCAACTAAAAAGCTTAAAAAAAGTTTAAAAAAACAATTCCCTTAATGGGAATTGTTTTTTAAACTTTTACCAGACAATTTCACTGTTGATTTGGAAGTTTATTGTTGTCACCTGGAAAACAATTCCCTTAATGGGAATTGTTTTTTTCCAACTAAAAAGCTTAAAAAAAGTTTAAAAAAACAATTCCCTTAATGGGAATTGTTTTTTAAACTTTTACCAGACAATTTCACTGTTGATTTGGAAGTTTATTGTTGTCACCTGGACAAATTGAGAGATACTATCAAAGAGAAAAGGCCAGAATTGAACAACAGGAAAGGTGCAGTGTTTCAACATGATAATGGCAGACCTTACTTCAGTTTGGTAACTCGTCAAAAGCTGTTACAGCTTGATGGCATGTGCTACTACACCCACCAAATTCACTGGATCTGGCACCCTCAGATTATTATTTGTTTTGGTCTTTACAAAATTTTTTAAATGGTCAAACATTCAAATGAGGATGTCAAAAATCACTAGGATCAGTTTTTTATAAGCAAAGATCAGAATTTTTGTGTGTGGAATCATGAATCATGCTGCTACCATAAAGAGGACAAAATGTATTGGACCAAAATGGTCAATATATAATTCCATAAAATACTCATATATTATAAGATTTTTTTCTTGGGGAAAAAATGAAATTACTTTCCAAATAACCCAATATTAGTAAAAAGTATTTGTTAAAAATGCTTATTATAATGACTATTAATGATTAATTTTTTAATTTAAATAAATATTTCTTTGGAATACTGATTTGTATTAAAAATAATTTGTAATGCAAGAGAAATATAAATTAGTGTTTTTGAACTTTGTTCATGCACATAATGACTTTTAGTTTCTATTTAAATGACGTCAATTTCATTTAAATTAGAATATTATGTTATATGTTTGAAATCTTGTTCGACTGAAAATGATGAATATAAGTTCGTTGAAAGTACTAGCAAAAATAAAAACTGTTAATGCTACTCTTAAAGTTGGTTTTAGTTTTTTAGTGTTTTTACTTTTCTGGCTGTTGTGTGTATGTAAGAAGGGAAAGTATTGGAATTTTGTCAAATTGAGCCTCTTTCAAGTTTTTTGCAAATCTTCATGTTTTGAAAGCTCTTGAACCCAAAAAGGGAAAAAAGTTCTGTGTGTTTGTGTTGGTGTCTATTTTGTTTAATCTCTCAGGATGGAGTAATCATTAAGAAATGAAATTTGGCATGGTGCATTGTGTATAAGGACATTGACACTATTAAATTTTGGTGATTGTGGTGATAGGGAGATAGAGGGGTGTCATATCTTGGGGTTGGATTTAATGAAGATGCTATTTGTTGTTAGCGCTTAAAATTTATCATTACCCTGAACTTAATGTTCAGGGTAGTGATAAATCCATTAATGGTGAATTAATCCATAATTGGCCTTTTGCCATTCGATAATGATTTAAAAACATAAGTTTTTTTTTATAATATAATCTCATAAAAGATGGCACCATACACAATTTTATTTTATAAATATTGTTATTAAAAGCATTATTTTTTACAGAGTTATTTTGTAAAAATCTCATAACAGCTGGGAAAGTTATGCAACTCATTGCTAGTTTTTTTTATCATTAATTTTTACAAAAAATTATCTTAAGAATTGAATTAATTTATTATATTTGTTTGTAAATCACTTGTGCTTATGGATATTTGAATTACTAGACAATGAATTTATGCCTGTTTTAATTTGAATTTTTAGACATTGTCCTTACCAGTAGTAGTTATTGTTCATGGCAATCAAGAACCACATGCTTGGGCAACAGTGACATGGGATAATGCTTTTGCTGAACCAGTGAGTAATATAAAATTAAAACTTAATCATGGTAAATTTTTTCATATGGTAATATTTTATGAATATTTACATATATATTTTCAAATAAAAATCTATATTAAAATAATTTTAGTATATAATAATTAAAAATAAAATTCCTTTTAATATCATTAACAATTACTTCAAATAATCATACTATTCATATTATAATTGAAATTTATTTTACTTCTGTCCATATATGTGTATATATATATAATGCATACATAATGCTTGATTGCTTTATATTTATTTCTTTTTTTTTGATTTTCATGAATATAAGTTTATTTGTAAAATAAATAAATGTGTTTTAAGTTGGTTATATAAAATGCATATTATATATTTAAAAATGGTAAGTAATCTACATACTGTTATGAGATTAATTTAAGCAAATTCATTAACTGCTTGGCAAATATATCTAATTTGTATAATTGTGTTTTGGAATAGATAAGAACATAATTTTGTGTATTTATAAAAATTTGTATATATACTGGTTACAGTTACAAATATAAGTTCATGTCAGATTTTAATAACTCTTTCAACTACCTTTTAATTACAATCATTAAATTTTATGAGATGGCACCCAATGCTTCTCTCTAGGATCAAATTTTATTCGTAATTTATAATTATCACCAAATTATAGTGCATTGATATATGGCAGGGGTCGGCAACCTGCGGCTTGCGAGCCACATGCGGCTCTTTGGATGTGAAGCTGCGGCTCTTTAGTTCCATACGCAAATATTATTTATTTTATCAAAAAAAAAACGTTTAAAAATCGTTCTAAATCGATTAACGAGGATTCGGCACCGATTCTATCTCTCAGCCACTTGTACTCGCTTTTCACCGCACCCCTCCCCCGTGACATGCGTCGTCACTGTCGTCAGTCCGTTGGAAGCTCTCGAATGACGCCGTTGTCGGATGTTTCTATGAGGTTTAATTCGCTTTCGACGCAAGACAATTTTTCTTATGAATAAATAGATTACTTTTTTTTTATCAAAAAACTTTATTTATGCAAGTACTATTTATTGTTAGCAAGAAAAAATTTTGTGGCTCTTTAAAAACTTTGAAATTTTGTAAATTGTAATTTTTGGCTCTTCCAACTCAAAAGGTTGCTGACCCCTGATATATGGCAGTTGAAGGAGTGTTATTGCAATGTATCTGGTTTAGTAAGATGTTTATATTTTTATATCAGATTTTAAATGTATTGTTAATTGCTTTTTTGCTCATGTAACAGATATCACTTTGTATTTTCTGGAATGATTGAAACTGTTATGATAAAGTTGAATTAATCCATAATAATGTAAGATTATGAAATTTTTTTTCTAGTTGTTATATACAAGTTAGGTAAAAAGCTAAAATTAGTAGAAAAAACTATTTTATCATAATCAGTTTTATTTTAATATAAACAGATATGGTACTGTTTAAAACATAAATGTTTGTCATATTTAATTCTAAGGGTTTTATTTATATTTTAATAGATGTAAATGTTAAATGTAATAATAATAATAGTAGTGCAGCCTACAAATTGAAGATCCACACAATTAGTTTGAATGCTTTTTTTATTTACAATAATTTTAAATGGTTGTCTTTATTTATATATTTTAATTTTTTCATTAATATTATTTTATTGTGTATGCTTAGTACATTGTTTATTATTTTGTAATTTGTTCTTTACGAATAGCCTGTAATTCAAAACAGTTTTCAGATTGATTCATTAGCTGCAGTTTCAATATCCATTATTCTAATAAATTTTGTAGTGTTAGTGTTCAATATTGTAGTAATGTTAATTAAGCAAGGTCCTAATCTTCAAGATCAAGATAACAAGCAGGATTTAATTTTCAAGACTGCAAAATCCTGACACCTTCTGCTGACAATGTAAGGATTTTTAAAATCTTGCAGGTTAAAAAAAGGCAAACTCCTTACATAAAATGTTGGGTTGTTTAGAAAGTTTAGCAAAATTTGACAAAAATTTAATGCAATATGTTTGTAGAGAATTAACATTTTATTAAATAATATACACATTATTTGTTTCAATGATTTTTCACTATCTTCAGGATAGATTCATAATTATTTTTTCAAAAAACTCTTAAGAATTTGTTGCCAGAAAGGATTAAAGTGGTTTTTGATTTCTCCTAGTGTACTTAATTTTTTTCCCCATTTAAAGAAGTTTTGCAAATACTGAAGAGATGATAATTGGATGTGCTGTGTCAAGTGAATAGGATAGGTTAAAATTTTTTCATTTGAGGTTAAGTAACTTTTTCTAGCTCCTCATTGATGTGCAGTCTATCATTTTCCTGTAGAAAAAGGATGTCTTTCCTGTTGATTAGTTTTTTTTTTTAACTTTTTCATATAATCGATCTAACTGGGAACAATATTTATCCGAATTCAGTGTTTTATTGTTTGCCAGAAGTTCATAATAACAATCTCCTTCCAATCCCATAAAATACACAACATAACTATCTTTGGTTGTAATCTGGCTCTTGGAGTGGATAGTTGGATGCTTCTCATTTTCCTCAAAATCTTTTTCATTTTTCATGTCCTATAATTATCCACTTGAAAACCAGTTCATTTTCATTTTAAGAACAGATCATATACTGACACTTCATCAAATTTTTTTTTCTTTTTTTTGTGAAATCATGTGATAGCCAAACCTCATAGTGACTAACATAACCAAAACATTTTAGATGTAAACAGAAGGTACTATGCAGAAATTTAAAAATAGTAACCTATGTTACAGTACTTAATAACAGTTAGTGTTTATTTAATTGTTATCAATAGCAGGCGTTAGTCCAGAATGCTTATACAGTAGAGCAGTGTTTTTTAACAGGGGGCTGCAGCCCACTGAGGGTTCATAAGAAGTTTGCCTGGGGGCTGCCAAATTATGCAAAATTTCCTTTAGAATATAATAAAAAGAAAATTGATGTATAACCAAATATCGCATTGAAAAGTGAAAATAAGAAAGATGAAGTTTTCGTATTTAGTTCTTTTATTTACAATATTTCTTATTTTTTCCTATATAAAACTTTGTTAGTACAGAAGAAATAAATGCAAATATGTTACTTACACTGCAGTATTTATTTCTTTTATTTCAAAGTAATTCTAAGAAACTATTAATGCGTGGAATTATAAAAATAATTAGGAAAAATAGTAGACATAGGAGGAGGCTTTGAAATTTTAAATATTTTTTGCAAAAGATATGCAAAATCTATATAACAAATATATATTATTATTAAAAATGGGGGTCACAAAAACTTATGAAATATTTGGTGGGCTGAGCATATAAAAAGGTTAAGAACCACTGCAGTAGAACATTGATTATCCGACCCCCGATCAACTGTCACATCGGTTAACTGACCGTTCTAGTCGGCAAATTTCAAATGTCTGCTAGTGATGTGGCACTACAATATTTGGCTACGTCTTGGCTACTTTAATATTATTTTTGTTAAATTTTTGCATGTTTTAGATGGCAACAGTGGCTCGACCATGAAAGGGAGGCCAATATTTAAACAAAGCTTAATTTTTTAATTGAGTGGTTGTTTGTTTTGTGAGCAATAAAATAATTTAAAAATAATTTTTAACGATACAATAGCAACGATTATTATTTTAAAAAACTTTGAATTTTCATCGATGTTCAGCCTAACAATGTGAATTAGATTAATAGTGATATACTAATTACATGGGATATAATAATATACTATACTAATAATGTATTTTTTCAGTTATCCGAACAACCCCAATTCCCAATTGAGTCGGATAATCGATGGTCTCTGTATATTCAAGAGAAAAATTATTGGCTTTGAAATGAGAAAATCACTTGTATATCATGTATGCACTAACATAATCATCTCCATAAACAGCACACTTTTTTTTTTTTTTTTTTGTTTTTTTGCAGTGTGAAAAGCATTAAATGTCAGAAATGCAACTAAAGAGTATCTGAGATGGCTTTTATCTTAGGAAAACATTTGTGTCAAGAGGTCGATATTGTTACTATTATAAAGGAATGTAAAATGAGAAATACTTAAAAATAAAAATTTGCACACCAGTATACAATATACTGCTTGCTAGTAAGCATAAGTCTAGACTGATGCACTGTTACAGTCTTGATTTGGGCTTACTAAAAAGACCAAGATAAGGCTTAGATATTATTATGATACTCTCAATACTGTCTTAAGACATAACATCACTACAATATCATGTCTAGAATGTTTTTTGGAATTAACTAGCTGTTTAAAATCTTGATTGAAAATATGAAGGCAAAGTGAATAAGCTATAAATATTTTAGAACATCAGAAATTCAATCAAATTGTGTTCTCGGGTTATTTGCTTATTATTTTTAAAAACACAAAATGAAAAAAAAAAGTATTTTAACTCTGTTATTTGCCTCACAATGGAATTAATTTGCTTAAAATTAATCTCATTAAAAAATTTAATTTTAGAAGCAAAACTTAAATATTATAATAAAGTATGCCAATACTTATATGTATTGTAGATTAGTTAAATAGGAAAAAAAAATTTTTATAGACTTTAAAAGCATGAAAGTTACTCTGAAAAATATTCAAAAAGTTATGCTGATTCTGCCTTTTTTTTTTTAAAGTCTATAGAGTTTTAAACTGTTCTTAAGATATAATTATTGTTTTAATATAACCGTAACAAAGCATTTAACCACATTATTATTATTTGATATTAAAATATTAAAAATGCTTTAATTTTGATAAATAGAAATGCATTATAGTTAAAAAAGATGAAATGTTTGAAGAAATTTTTGTTGTGTTTATAGTATGTTAGCAGTGTTATTGAATTTGCTTCTGAAATTAAATTAATGAGTTCTCAGAATATATCAATAAAATATGGTAATTTTCTTATAATACTTTCTGCATGTTTCTGCTATAAAATTAACATTTTAGATTTTTTTATTTGTCCAATTAAATGCAAATTTTTTGCATTAGTGCAAAATATATATCTTTATTTTAAATAATTTATTGCAAGTCTCCACTACTTAATTGAGCATGATTGAAGCTGTTTGATTTCTGTTTATTTCCATATCAGAAAATAATGCTCTAGGTTATATTTTCTTTCCTGCTATCTTGCTATTCACCCCCCTGCTTTCTGCCACTAACACCTTTCTAGCACTAACAGAATCCACCAACAACACTTCACATGCAGGTGTATAGAAACACATCTACCTTCCATCAGGGCAGGGTTCCCTTCCAAGTACCTGAAAAAGTGAAATGGTACCAGATGGCAGAAGTTCTCAGCACAAAATTCAAGGCCACAACAGGCAGAGAATTATCAGAAGACAATCTTCGTTTTTTGGCTGGGAAAGCTTTTAGAAGTAAGTTTTTCATTAACTAAGTAATAATATATAATATGTCCTTAATATAAGTTAATTAATATGTTCTGAAGGTTTCTGCACAAGTTGGAAAACAATATAAGTTACAGAATGCTAAATGTAATGTCATGTCAAGTCAAACTTTCATATTATGAATTTCTATATATTCTTCTATAACTTCTTTATTATTATTATTTGTTCTTTTCTCTGTTCTTCTTATTGTTTTGTTGATTGTATATTATATGTGTGTGTCTGTGTTTTTTTTTTTTTTTTTTTTTTTTTTTTTTTTTTTTTTTTNTTTTTTTTTTTTTTTTTTTTTTTTTTTTTTTTTTTTTTTTGCACTCTTGAAAAAGGCCAATTGTCATAGGGTCGTTTGGGTAAATAAATAAATATATAGCTAATTTCTCTATATAACAAATTTTTGCATTGTACACTGTTCATTCAGACAAAATTATAAGTAAAATTGTTTCTAAATAACAGTTAAATTTCTATGTAACAAATTTTTTTAATTTGTAAGGATCATCAATCATTAAAAGTCTGTTACTTCATCTCTGTTGAATGCGAATTTCAGTTCAATTTCAGATATCAATCTGTAAAACCTTTATAAAACTGCAGCCCAAGTGTGAGAAATACTATTAATAGTTGTTAGCTTTTAAAACCATCATGTAATCTGACCCCACATGTCTAGCAGTAAAGAAGGGGGAGTGCGATTAGGTCAATCTTTGACAGTTAAACAATTTACAAAGTTAACATGTATCAAAAATGTTAACAAGCTATATTGTTTATCTGTAAGTTAGATAAAGGGCGAAAAAAAGAAAGACATTGTAGTAATATCGGATCTTCTCATCCTCCCTCTCCGGGGGTTTTCATCAGGGCAGATGCGATCTATCTATCGACACGATCTATCCATCAACACATGCTAACGAGGGGCCGTTAAGACTGGGGAAGAAAATGCGGGAAGAAGGAATTTTTGAGAGAGGAATTCGGGACACGAGAGGGAGTGCGAAGTAGTGGTCCCTGAGAGTGGAATAAAGTTTTTTTTGTGGAAATATTGGACTAGTTGATTAATTAGTGAGACAAACCGACGGGGCGGAATCCGCTGATTGAGAACAGGTTCCCTACAGACATTGTAGTAATGTTCAGAATTCCTGTGAGTATTTTATTAACCATTATAACAAATTGCAAATCAATTTTGAATTTAGCCATTGATGAGAGAGACCTACAGGAAAATGTGCTAGAATCTGTGTTTACATCAATGTAGAGGAAGCAGTTTTAATGCTCTTAATAAATATTATGTCTTTTTATATTTAATTAATAACATTACAAGACAGTTTATTTCATGTTTTATTAATCAGATACAATGTAATTATATACATAATTTGTAGTTCCAGAGGTACAATATAATTTAATATCACTTACAAAACATAAAAGTCAGGGAATTTCTGAAACTCTGACTAATATGATTTCATTTTTTGCCATCATATTCTACATGAATTTCTAGACCAAGTTATCCTAACAATTTTATGCTGCAGTTATTTCTCAATTAATGGTAGTTTTCAAAGTTTCTTTTGATTCTCAAAAGTCACTTGCAGTATTCTCTCTCTAGGACAACGAATTTTATGAAATAGTTACTGTTGGTCTTTTTCTAATAAATCGTCTAATTATACTGTTTTCAAAATTAAAGCATTAAAGCAACACACAACCTGTGCAAATTCAACACCATGAAACTTGAGTAGCTGAAACTTATGTTATGTAAACCAGCAAAGTGCCATCCATTATGCAAGTGAAACATTACAACAGAGAAGACATTTGGATGATTCATTGCAATGGAGGGCCATTTATTTCTGTTTTTGCCATGTACATTTCTGTATGTTGCTTTAATTTTGCACTTGAATGTATATTAAATAAAATTTTGAATTTTACATTTGGAACATTCAAACAGTTGTTCCAAGCTGTTCGAATGTTCCAAACTTGGAAACAGTTGTATTCAATTTTGCACCTGATGATGATAGCTTTACGTAAAACTATTTGAAAGTGCTTGTGAACTCTTATTTGCTAAATGTCACTGTTCCTAACACCATAACATGCTAGTGAATTTACATTATAAAGTTAAATGTTGGCGGGAAGTGTACTTTTATTTTAATTGTGTGAATTTTTTACAGTTTAATTTTTAGCATAAAATATATTTAAATGTATGTTTATGGGGGAATTTTATCAATTTTCCCATAAACATACATTGAATATTATATTTTATGGTATAGAAGATATAAGTTTTGTTCAAAAAAGGCTCAAAAATATTGCCCAATGTCTCATATATGAAATTGCAATAGACTGATGAATTCTTCAAATGGCCCTCAGTTAACCGAACACACAAAATAAAATTGTTACTGTTTATAATACACATGTCAAAGCCCAATGAGTTAATATAATAATCCAACAATCACCTAAATATTTGGGCTATAATCAAATAATTAATACAAACAAATTTGGTACTAGAGGTAAGTGTTAGACACCATATCTTAACTAAATTAATACAGTGGTACTGTACCTCAGTATACGAAATTAATCCATTCCGAAATTGAGATTGTATCATGAAAATGTGTAAGGTGAATTATTTTCCCCCATATGATTACATGTAAAACCAAATAATCCGTTTTAACACGAAAAACACACTCAAATTAAAGCTAAGTTGTACATTAAAAAAATAATAATAACTATAGTAAGGAAAATAGTGAAAAATGTGTTTTGTAGTTGTAAATGTATAAATAACCATAATAGAATAATAATTGATTTAAAAAAAAAAAGTTTTATTATCACTTTACCTTTGAGGGTAGACAACGGTGGAGGTGTAAACTGGTGGCAGAGGAGAGGGAGAAGGGAAATGATACTAAAACTTAACTTACCTAACATAATGTAACAATAACTTAAGAATAACTTACACTAACTTTTTTATCTTTTCTGTTTTATATATTTTTAAAAATTTTTTATTCATTGCTTTTTGCTTTCTTTCCTTCACTTCCACCATCACTTTAACTGGATAATGGTCGCTTGGTAAAATATCTATCCAAAGAAGTTTGGCTTTGCCTACTTTTTAAAATGTTTCTAAAATGATTTAGGCAAATGTCATTACTCTGAGCAGCAATACGGCCAGTGTGAACCTTTTCAGGGGGAATAAAATCAGTCATTTCTGGTAATACCTCNAAAAAATAACTGTAGTAAGAAAAACAAATGAAAAATGCGAACTAATGTAACATCGTATGGTGAGTTTTTGTTCGTATCGTGGAGCAAAAATATGTTTGAATTTCATGTCGTATCCTGAAAATTTTGTATGCTGGGATGTTCATATCCTGAGGTACCACTGTAACTATAATTTTAATAATTTACTAAAAGAAAATAACTGACCTGGGGCGGGCTTGAATCCACAGCTTCTGTTTGCCTTGCTGTGCACTACTCATTGCGCCAGCCAGACCCAAACCAGCCTTCGCTTTCGGAAGTATTTAAATTTCAATATAACCTTCCATGGTTACTAAAGGCACTGGCGGTTAGTATCTGTTCTGAAAGCAAAGGCTGGCTTAGGGTCCAGGAGATGCAATTTGGTAGCACACTGCAAGGCAAATGGAGTCTGTGGGTTCAAGTCTGCCCCAGGTCAGTTATTTTTTTTTTTCAGAAGGTTCTACATTATTTATTAAATTATTAAAATTATAATTATTAATTTAGTTAAGAGATGGTGCATAACGCTTACCTCTAGTACCAAATTTGATTATAGCCATATTATAGCCATAATATTTAGGCAATCGTTGGATTATTATGTCATTGTTTAATTAAACTTATAATTATTGTTTGTTTTTTTTTTGTTATAGTTAAGCTGTTTTTGCATTTATTCATGTAGAACATTTTAATGGTAAATGCCTTGTTTTTCCCTTTGTAAATAAAACTATTTAATCTAATTTTACTTTCTTAAGCCAGAATATACTAAAAAATATGGTGCTAAGTACTAAAGTAGCTTAAATACATTATATACTTTCCTATATATCTTTTTTGCTGAAATGGAGGGACATCTTTTGTGCTGTCTAATACAGTATGTTTTAACATTTAGATCAGGGCTTCTTAAACTTTTTTTATTTACGACCCCATTTATGATTGTGATTTTTGTCGCGACCCCAAAAATATAAAATAAAGATATATACAAATTTGCAAAAACAATAATGGTGTACTACCACAGTTCATTCTTATGTCACAATGGAACAGAGACAACTGAATACACTACACTAGTTCACACTGCAGTGTTGTTGAATCGTTGTCTCGCTGCACCAGAAGTGACACAAAGCGCAACTCACGAAACCTATGACACAAAGCATGCCATTTTCAAACTCTCACAAATTATTTTTCATATTTAGCATTAAAATCTCGCATTTGGGGTTGCGCCATATGGGTCGCAACCCCAAATGGCGTCGCGACCCATAGTTTAAGAAGCCCTGATTTAGATGATAAAGATTAAAGATTGTACAATTGAAAAAATTGCCAGGTCAAATAATTGTAAAAATTACCAAATATTAGGCTATACAATGAAGACACAACTTTGTTTTTGTTTACACGTCAGGAAAATGTCTTATGGTAGTCTTTCCTGAGGTGTGAACAAGGACAAAGAAGACTGCTCAATGTATAGTCTAATATTTTTAATTTATAGAAAAGCTTGTGTTTATTTAGCTATAGAAATTTTTTATGATATGACACTCATACAGTTATAAATTGACTGTAGTATAAATACTTAACAATTATTTAGGTTTTTTTCATATTTTTAGTTTTTAAACGTTTTTAACTATAATAAAAACAAATTTTAAAATTTTCATATAAATATAAAATTTCAAATGTTATAATTATTAACATGGTTTATTTTAAATTAAATTTTTATAATAATAATAATATTTTCCATTAAATTACATATTAATAATAATTTATATTTCAGATGCTCAATTACAAGATGCAAACAATATGCTATTAACATGGTCTCAGTTTTGTAAAGAGCCATTACCTGAAAGAAACTTCACTTTTTGGGAGTGGTTTTATGCGATAATGAAAGTTACTAGGGAACATCTGAGAGGACCTTGGAATGATGGGTAAGAATGTTTTGATTTTGTAATTTTGTCTGAATATGAATTACATGAATGTTTTTTAGCCTCACAATAGATTAAAAAAACTTATGTGTTTTTTGTATTGTATATTGTTGTGCTATATAAATTTGCTTCAGCAGATTATTTCATTATATTTCTTCAAATTTTATCTAATTTTTTTTCCTTCAAAGAATTTTACACATCTCGGTTGTCGGTTATGTTGTGAAATTCAATTATCAAACTTAAACCTAAAATTGCAGAACTTATTATGATTGATTAGAAAAATATGTTAAAATTGTAAATTACATACGAAGATAATATAACTTTTATTACATGATCACATGTTTATTTTTTTACATAAGAATACTAAAACTGTACTATATATGAAATAATAGGCTAAATTGATTTCTAAAAAAGTTATACTAGGATAAACTCACATTTATATTTGTTTATTGAATTGACAAAACATTGGTTATTTTTATCAAAGAGTTGATAATTTATATGTTTTACACCAAATTCCCAAAAAGTGTAAGTAATCAAACTACATATTTAAAAAAAATTTTTTAAATTTATTTACAAGTGGAAACGTCAGAGATTTAGATCAGGGCTTCTTAAACTTTTTTTATTTACGACCCCATTTATGATTGTGATTTTTGTCGCGACCCCAAAAATATAAAATAAAGATATATACAAATTTGCAAAAACAATAATGGTGTACTACCACAGTTCATTCTTATGTTACAATGGAACAGAGACAACTGAATACACTNATGATGTATTACGGGTTCTTACAGTAGGGACGCAGAGACCTAGCCAGTAATTTAAAATTAGACCATTGAAGTATTTAAAGCAGAGAATGTGGTCAAAATATTTTAAGTGATCATAAAAATTTAGTGACCAAGGCAAACTCTTGCCACAACGTGGTTGTCAGTAAAGGGTAAAATGCAGAATTTGTGTATCAGAAAATAAACTTTATCTACTTCAGATTGTATTTTTTGAATCAGATAAGAGGCAGCCATGGCCCAGACTGGTAAACAATGATCGACTATTGATTGAAAATTAGTAAAGAAAATTGTTCTGAGTATGGTCTTTGAAGAGATATTTTTGCAAAAACGCCAGATAAAGCCATGTCTAATTGCAAGAGATTTAATAATGTGAGAGATATGATCATGGAATATTAATTATTCATCAAATATGATAACAAAGTCATGATGAGACTGGACATAGTTTATTTTAGAAGAATCAATAAATATAGGTATAAATAGGGTGGTAGGGATTGCAAATTAGAGAAAAAAAAACATAATGACAGTTTTATGGACATTGATTTTTAAATTATAATTGGCAAGATTAGAACATAAAGAATTGACAGTAGTCTGAAGGGAGGAGGGATCATTGGAGAAAATTTTGATGTCATCGGCGCAGGCAATTACTTTAGAGTGTGGGCTGATTAGTAATTTATCTATATAAGCTGAGAAAAAAAAAGCATGCTTAGCACAGATCCTTGAGGTATGCCACAGATAGGAGAGAAAGGGAAAAAATCAAAATCACCAATGTGAATTTTACATAGTCTGGATAAATAGTAATTGTTTAACCAACAGTAAAGAGCAAAATCTAAATCAAAATAATCACTTAGAGTCTGAAGTAGTAATTTAGGAATGATAGAGTCAAAGGCTTGGGAAATATCAATATAAATTATGTAGGTGGATTTTTTGTTCCCAAAATTTTGCAAAATAGTATAAGTTGTTTCAAGGTTAGTAGTAGTGGAAAGGTTACAAATGCCACAGTGTTGATGAGGGGAGAATCTGGAGGTAATTTGTGTATAGATTTTGTTATATAAGAAAATTTCAAAAATTTTTAACATGGCTGATACAATAGTTATTGGTCTAAAGGAATTATCTTTTTTGGGGAGAACCTTTATATTAGAGATTAACCAGTGATTTGGAATGTGACTAGAGTTTAATAAACTTGTGAAGAGTTTGGAGAGAACAACAGTGGATATTGCCTTTAACTTTTTAAAGAATTGAGCTGGAATTGAGTCTAGACTATCTATGGCAGACTTAACATTGGAAAAAGAAATAAAGAATTTATGTTTACATTGTTGAAAAGATAGGGAGTGAAACTTAGCTTCAGGTAAAATGCGAAAATATCTAGATTTAATATTATTAATTATATCATGTATTTTATCGTCTAGAATAGATTTTTGGGACGAGGTTTTTTTTTTTTTTGAAAAGTTAGGAATGAAATGCCAGAAGGTACGAGGATCAGCGGCAAAGTTCTGTTAAAATATTCTAAAAAAGCAATACGATGTTCCTGGTAATCACGGTTTTGCAGTATTCTATGTAAGTATAAATGACGTAGGTTACCATAATGTTTCCATTTGCTCCGTTGTTTTCTGACCATATTGGATAATTTCTTTAAGTGTAGAGGAAGCCATCTATTGGTGGAAGAGTTTATTTTACGGAATTGTAATAATTTTTTAATAGTGGCAGAAAACAAATTGTAAATTTTATCAATAAGTTTCTGAGGAGAAATAGGAAAGTTGAGGAAGGTCCAGTCTATGGAGCAAAGGAGTTTTGAGGCCTCCATTCAGTTGAATGAGGCCCAAATTGGAATATTAATGTATTTGGCAGATTGCTGTTTATTGATATTTAACAAGCATTATGACATATTCTAGACATATTGCATTATGGTCAGATTTGAACCCCTGAGTGTAACTGGTAGATACAGCATCATTATAGGTAAAAGCAAGATCAAGAAAGTTATTAATACGAGATGGAAAAAGAATTACCTGTTTAAGTTGGAAAAAATAGAATATTTCATTAAGGAAAAATTGTTCAGTTGGGTCAAGGGAGGAATAATATGGGCCATTAGAATTCCAAGAGATGTTACGCATATTGAAGTCTCCTCATAAGATAATTTTAATATTTTGGGAGTCAGAAAGAGAAATAAGATATGCATGTAAAATTTTAAAAATGGAATCTGTTTTATTATGGGGGACATAAATCGAAATGACTATTAGTTTATAGAAAAAGTTTGATGGCGAGGATAGAATCAAGATATTCAAATACTTTTACAGGTTTGAGTGAGGGGGGGAAATCAAAAGGATTCCACCACCATGTTGAATAATACTAAATAAAGCAATATGTGAATAACCCAAACTGTTAATAAAATTCCAACACATCATCAGAGTTTGGGGTAAGCCAACTTTTCGTTAATATAAATAAATCATAAAAATCATTAAGAATCGAGGCAAGGAACATGCATTTGTGATTAATGGACCTGACGTTTTGGACAAAAATTTTAAGATTTTTTGTTGAATACATTTTAGGAAAAAAAGAAGTGCTATGAACAAAGATGAAGGTAGTGAGGAACTATCAAAAATGTATAAACTAACAATAGATAAATCAATATATTATTTTATAAAATATCAGGTCAGTCCATAAGTTCATGCGCATTTTTATCTACAAAAAAGCAACAAAAAATTTTAATTAAATCTTATTTCAATCTATAATGTATTCACCATTATTTTGTACAATTTCTTGCCATCTTGATGGTAGCTTTTTAATCCCATTTTTGTAAAATGATTTCGGTTTTGAATCGAAATATTCAGAAATAGCCTTTTTTACATTATTCTCATCCTCAAAAGTATTCCCTTCTAAAAATTCTGCAAACTCCAAAAAAGATGATAATCACTGGGAGCAATATCTGGCAAATATGGTGGATGAGGTAAAATTTCCCAGTTGAAGCTTTTGAGTTGAGCAGTTGACGTTGTTGTCAGTTAGCTATTGACAGTTCATGTGGTATCCATTTTCCTAGCTTTGAAACTTT